ATCGATCAATATGATCCTTCGATTTGTTGATAGTAATGTGTTGCCCAAAGTATAAATTTCAACTAAATATACCATCGTGTTGATCATTCTAAATTTTGCCACACAATTAATTTATTGTCACTTCGATTTTTTAAATACTTTATCCGATAAAAACTCACAAATCAATTTGAAACCACCTAATTTTCTGAAACAAATCTTTTCTTTCACATAATTTCAAAAAAATATTAAGATAAAAAAAACGATTCAAGGAAATTAGGTCATCATTGAAACAAATCTATATCAATAAATTTCAGTTTTTATTCAATCTTAAAAAAACTTTATTGTTTAATCGTAAAAGTCTAGGTCGTTGAATATGTAGATTATTAATGTGCATAGATTTGTGACAGAAACTTTTAACTACTTAAAACTTCATTATGAAGCATCAATTTATATTCTGATTTGTCAATACTCTAAATGTATTTCAAATGAACAATTAAGTCCTAGAAAAAAATCAATCAAATAGTCTGTGAAAATAGTGTTTTAAACTATTTCCTCCTTAAATTGTGATGTATGTTATACTTCACTTTAAATATTTTCATTTTTATTTGATTTTGATTATAAGTGACCAAGAATAATTTTGAATTTAATTTGTAGATATCTATGTAGCATGGTAAAAATGGTCTATCTCTTTACTCAATGATATTAAGCAAATAGTCTTATTCATTGACAATGTATATTCATTACACATCTATTAATTATTTTGTCAAATGACTGGATCATTAAGCTTGCAAATGTTATGCTTTGGAAACTAAACTTTGAAGAAAAAATGTCTTGCTTACAATGAAATTTTCTCGACTGTAAATTAATAGTTATCAAAAATCTCTGATTCTTCAGGTTGTTCAATTTACTTGCTATTGTTATTTAAAACCAGTTATACTTAAATAATTTTTTATGCAGTGACACTTGTTTACTAACTGTCATCTTCAGTCCTTTATGAAAAATAAGTCTATTTGGGAGAATTCGTGAGTCAATTTACTATTATTACCTCATCACGTATTTCAAATTATGATATACACTGGAGAATGATATGTTCCACTGACTAGTTTTTTTTTTTATCTGATACAAACTTGATTTGTGTTGAAATCAATTATCATCTAAACTGTCAGTATAGAAACTTGCAAAACACTGAAACATACTGATCCGAATAAATTTTAAAAACAAACTAAATGTCAAATTATGTCTACAATATGTTTGTTCAAATCAACATTGAGAACAACACATAATAAGCGAACAATATTGTTTTCAATTAGATCGTCATCAGGCTTTACTTTAATATACATGAATATTTATTTGAAATTGTTTAACCAATCAAGGCAATCTGAGCCAATAATCACAATGATTCGAGATAGATTACGTCACTACACGTAATAGGCAAAAGTACAAGTTGATAGTTGGAAGAAAGGTGTACTGATAGTTGTAGTAAGAATAATAAAATCCGATCAACATTTGTCATTGATTATGAATCTTCTTAAAATGGTATTCTGCATAAAATTAAAATGATGATTTCTATTGAAATTTCATTTTAACTATATTTTAGATTATAAAGAAATTTTTTTTCATGTTACATTTTTAGCTGAATTCAATTATTGGTTTGTTATCAAAAAAATAATTTCATCACAATACTATTTTCAATTAGGAAAACGAAAAGAAAAAACATGAAAATTCTACAATGATTTTTGCTCTGAAATATGTTTTTTTGTTTTTACTGGGTCATTGAAAAATGAAAACAGTGGTAGAATGGTAGAAACAAAAAATGTATCCAAATAAAAGTAGTGTCGTCAAAGTCATGTGGGATTTTGAAAAAAGAAAAAAGAAAAAAAATTGAATATCAACTTTCAATGTCCTTAATGGTTAACAATAAAATAAGCTGTACATAAATGAACATCATGTATAATCTAAATGTGAAATAGGAAAATAATAAGCAACCAGATTTATCAAATATGTGATTTGTCAGTTTACTTAAGTTTGATGTTTGTTATTTTGTTGTTGGTGTTGCTGTTGTTGTTGTTGATGAACTTAATAAAAACAATACTTAAATGACCTAAAATTTATTTTAGAATTCTTGACATGCAGTTATTCAAAATGGGATTCCATTAATTTTTTATTGGGTCATGAGGATAAAAATAATTATATATATTTATATAAAACTTATTTATTCATCGTTATCAAAAGAAATACAGCTCTTTCCATATATATATATATATATATATTAGAGTTATGGAGATTAGTGTTTTCACACATTTGAAATCATCAATCAATCATTGTTAGATCACCATTAGAAACCTGGTAACACTGGACGGCTGTTTCGTCCTGGTATGAGACTCATCAGCAGTGCGCATACACGGCTACTGTATCCCGCAGGATTCGAACCCGTTACCTTCGGTATTGTGCGCGAACGCCTAACCACTAGTCAGGCATCCAACAGTATTAATGTCTAACTCTCATTGATCTAGGAATTTTGCGCGTCCTCACCCATTTGTCTTCGGCAGTTACTGCCTGCACGCGACAGCGTTGAACTCCATCCGTCACGTCTTCTCACTAGAACTCTGAGAATTTCCTCACGGAGCTAGTCACTAGTGAGCACATTTTACGATATTTTCAATTGGAGTTATGAAGATTAGTGTTTTTACACATTTGAAATAATAAATTTCAACATAACTAGTTATTATGGTGATTTGGCAGAGAATTTTTCGTTGAAATCTGAGCATTCATGGATCAGTCATCTTTGATACACAGAAGACTAACAAACTTAGGTAATAATGATTTCTCTTGAATGGTTGGTTGAAAATCAGGTTACTAAAAGTTACTATCAAAGTACTACGTCTGCAATGATGTTTCAGTCATTAAACAGTTAGAATATATGATATGTGAATTTCAAATTTAAATGATGCTTTCTTTAATGCAAAAAACATATTCTTCATATAATATCCGATATACAAAATCTGGATTTTCACTAGTTTACGATAAAACAGTTTTGCGTGTTTTGCATCATGCAATAGTAATGGATGAGTAAATGTCAAAGACGGAATTTAAGATAAGAATTTTATTGTCTTATCACTAAGGTAGTTAAGCAGAGAAGTCGGAATAGATGTTAAATAATTTTAATTTATTCTATGTCATTCAAAAACAGATTGGTTCAAAATTTTCTTTTGCATAACCAATTTAACATAAATATTCAGCACTCTGCGTTGCTAAAACTAAAACAGTTCATCCTACGGTAGGGCAATTAGTTTTCACTTAGTTATGACCAGTTATGATAGTTGACTGAATGATAGTGAAAAGCATACTCATCAACTTCACATTCAATTGAATGGGAAAAAAGATGATTCGTGAATATTGTTCAGTATAGAGTAACATACTGATAGCAATTGGGAAGTCATCATAATACAGAGAATAGTGCCTAGCTCGTTTGTTCTATTTTAAAAATTCGCTCCATTGCAAATGTCGTACCAAGCAAAGTTTGAATCCATTGTGTTTCAACTTATGTGTCTAGACAGATGCTTTGTTCTTGTAAGTGGAAGCTAATGTAAGTATATTCAGTATATTTTGCTCATCAATAAATCTTTAGTTAATAGAAGTCTTCGATAAACTTTTAGACTAGGAAATTTATTAAAACAGGAATTCGCAACAGAAAATACACAATCTTTCAGTGTAAATTAAAACGACCATTTAGGAGTAAAATATCTGTATCAACTTTTCTATAATAAATGAAAAAATAGTAGAAATATCATGACTCGTAAAGCTAACTAGTGTCTGACAACGTCCATAGTTGTCTAACAAATGGTTAAAAATGTCTATAAAATTCTACTTTACAAACAATTAGTTTTCTGTTTGTTAATTTTTCAGGAAGTCAATTTTGTTCAAATAATAAACGGTACTATTAGTCGATATCTCATAATTCAACTAAAATAACTAATTAATTTACATGTTATCTAACGGAATGTCTCTTTGTTAAATAGTAAAATATTATTCATTTATTTAAATTGATAATGATTATACTGAATGCGAAAAAAATGAATAAAGGAAGTAAACTGTATAAAATGTCTAGTTGATGAATTTAAAGATTAGAAATTTTGTTAGGAATTTTTAAAAATAAAAAAAACTGTTTTTGATTTATTGAAAATCATAGTCATGTGGTGAGAGTTAAAGCATAATCATGTGTAACGATATTATTCACATTTGTTGTAATTTCAATTAAAAGCATTAAATATTCAAAAGCATCTCACATCACTGCTCATGTAAACTAAAGTGTTAACAAGTATTATAGGTCAAATAGTAAATGAATGGGTTGACATCAGTATGAAGATATTCAGTTATGTAAGTAATTTTCATTGACTTCAGTAATTGGAATTCTCATGCCATTATTTCAGAGATTAACCTGAAGACTTATGTATATTGTCGATTACTAATAATTTACTTTGCACAGTATGATTACTTGGATTATTCTTGGAAAACTCATCCAACTTGCTATTATCCAATTAGAAGTAAGAACATTTATCAGTCCAACAAAGATTTTAATAAATGTATTTGAATCTTTAATCGGTCGACATAACTTGACGAATTCTTAAAACTGTAGGGTCTCATCACACTCGCATCAAATGTTTGATTTATAATGGTTGAAAGCACAATTATAGTCAATAAGAGTTCTCTGATCGGAGCATTTTTGAGGTAAATGGAACTCTCTATAAGATATTCATATTTGCCTACTAATGTTACACTGATATACATTATCATTAAGCCAATCCTCAAGCTTAAGTACGGCTATAAAGCTGCCTGTGTACGAAATAACTAAGGTTTGTACATATAAAAATGACAAAAATTTATGTTCATTACCGCTTGCTGTGATATATATATGGGACCCATTTTGCGTATCACAATTTGAGGTAATTAATAGTTCAGTCTTACCGTTTCATTCTATATGATTACCATTTTTTTCCTTTTTTTCCTCATTTGCTTTACAGAGGTCTCCTCCAATGTTTTAAATCTTAATGGACAAAATCATGCAACATTTCATTTTAACACAGTTGGGGTAGATGAAAATATACTTTTTGAGTTTCGAACACGGAAAGAAAATCAGACAATGTTTAGTTTCGGTGAGTTCTTGTTTTGATTAACTAGTTAGCCAAGATCGTGGTTTTGTTCATATAGCGGCAAATCAGTTCAAGATTATCAAAATTACCTATTGTCTGAAATACATATATATATATATATATATATATATATATATATATAACCTACACCATTCTAACTACAGTTTCGTTATATTCTTATATCTGAGAATCCATAAATTGTAACAGTTCATAAACAATTCCTTGGTCATTTATCAAGCGTAAATTAGATTTCAGATAAACGAAATTACCCAGACGTTGAGAAATATTTGTTTTATCAAGTTAGTTATAATTTGCTTGAAATTGCTAAAGAAATTTAAACATCTAAAAACGTAATTAATACTAATTTACCGAATTTATGATGTGGGTAATATGCCTAACTGTTAACACGACAAAGATAACACCGATAGTTTTTAGTTCCGGATGATATTTATGTTTCGACAAATGAAACCGATCTATGTCTTCGTTTACATTTGTCCCGTTCGCTTAGTCGAATTTATGTTAAGTGTGATGAGAAAGAATTTGTTATTTCAAAACAGCTAAACTTATCTAATAAATAACCAGCATTTCTAGCCAAGTAAACAAGCATCTGGAGTTGACTCGCATAGAACAGGAAGACGAAACTGATAAATCCTTTTTCTTCAGGAGTTAAATTAAATTTGGAAGTTTAAGTTAATATTGGATAGGATACCATGAGACAGGCAACCATGAAAACTGACTTTACTTCAATTAAATGTCACATAGAAAAAACCCCTGTAATGTTTAGGAAGATATTACTCATAAAACTCAAATTCATCATATATACAGGTTAATGGAAGGTCATTTTGATAGAATAAAGAGAAGATAAAATCGTCTTCGACTTTATTTGATGATTGTGTGATGAGGATATTTATGGGGTCTTAGGTAAACCATAATAGCAGTAATTAAACTTGCTTGTTTTAGATACAGAACTTCTGATGCTGTTACATTTTGTCTCAGTATTCCTTATCCGTGATAAATACAATCTTTTTTCTTTTTTCTACAACAGAATTAACTAGTATTCTGAAACAACATACAAAGAGGAAAGTCGATTTCTATGTATTGGGTTATTTGTTAGATGGAGCATTGGTTGTACATTTGTTCAATTATTTACCAGTGAAACGTTCTTATTTAAACAATGCAGATACTCGAAAAATCATTTCCTGTGTATCCGATTATGACACATGCGCAGACACACACTGGCATCAAATTTTATTCATGAATAAGCAGAACGATGTAAGTTTTAAGCATACTACTGTACAACATTAGTAGGAATTTTTCGGTAATTTTTAAAAATAATAAAAGACAAACTCATTAATTAATTGTGATTACTATCGAATTACATAAACACCATTCTTAAATTGTGCAGTTAGATTAACATAGATTGTGAATGTAAGTGTCACACCAAATCATGCCATAATTACTGAGAAGTACAGTATATTATTATTGCGTGACTTCCTTTAACATCAAGGCCTAATTTGTTTCAGAGATAATCAGGATTATAGCAAAATAAGTATTGGTCGTTGACATATTCTCAAAAATTTTAATTTTTTTTGATTTCACTTTGATTCATGAAATCTAACCGTACATTTTTACTTTGCTTGAAAATTTACTTCAGTCAGAAAATCAACTGTCAACTGATGAAACACTCTGCGGAAAATAGTTGAACTAAATTTCGATAGTCTAATATCATAAAAGAATAAAATGAACAGAATTAAACTATCAGTTAGATTACTATATAGTATATTGTAAGTAGCAAAATAAGTAAAATGATAGCCGGTGTATTGATATTCCAGAATAACTAACATATGCATCTTCTTCTAAAATAGCTTATGGAAACACAAAATAACAGGTACATTTTCGTAAAAGGGATTAAATATTCAAAAGAACTAGCGTATTTTCATTCTATGAAGCCAGATACAGTAGTGCCTAATACCAGTGGATCTTACATGTGCAACCATTACTACATTGTCTGATAATTAGTAGTGACTGGATGCTGTTGACTATTTTCATCGAACCCTCTGTACTAAGTAAATCGACATTTTATTGCAATATGTTTAAAATCACCTGCAAGGGAGCCCTCAACCCAATAGAAAAGGTTTCATTGTAATATAAACTGGCTTTCGCACTGTTATCAGTAAAAGCACTAAAGATTTTTAGCCACAAGTATCCGAAAGAAGATTGTTTTATATCGAACTGCGTACTTTATTGAACAATAATATTTCAATATTAAGGAGTTTAAATAGTTGTGAAAAGTCAATAAAGTTGTTGAAAATTGTGATTCTCCAGTTGGTACAGTCACTTTTTATTACAACGTACATTCATGTTCACTTCCGGATCTATGAATCTGTCCATCCTTTTGAATCGTTGAATGAGCTTTCAACTGACATTCATATTGAGAACGACACTGACTATAGTCAGCGCATAATTTTGGATACCGAATACCATGCTAAAGAATTTTATAGTGTGAATAAAAACGTAAAGACACTTTAAAGCACAAAATTATTTTTCACAGGAATATGTTCGATTTATATATTAGTTTGTTTATTTAAATGTTTATTATAATTTTGACAGATATTTATAAATTACTGCAATATAATCTGTGCCTGTGTTTTACAGTTGTTTCTTGTACTTGACAGTCAACCTCCGGTTAAATTAAATTCACATACTGAAGATAGATTAATCACTGTGAAAAGTATGCAGTTGGGAGGAAACTTGTTAAATTCTTCCAATGAAACAGTCACAAAATTTCTTCCTAGCATTGTAAATCAAACAAAATTCAGGGGTTGTTTTCAATCGGTAGGTTCATCAAGCTTTATTTGATAGTATTTCAATTAGATTAATTTCTGTTATTTAAAATAATTTCACGGTTATTATCTTTCCATATTCTATCAATTTCCTTAGATGCCTAAAATAAACATTAAAAATATTCTTAAAGCAAACAATAAAGAATATGATTTTTGATTAAAAGCCTTTTGGCTGTTAGACGATTTACAGTTTCGTCAAACGTTGACATGAAATCAATTACTCAAAAACAGATAGCACTTGATAGATATTTCGTCCCAGTTTGGAAAATCTAAGCAATATGATTACGTTTGAATCCAAGAAACATAACCAGAATCTGTCGATCTTACGAAGAACCTGTCAACTTTGGTTTTCTGAGTAACCATTCATTAATTCACACCTCCAACTCAGATCAATTCATCAATTGTCATTAAAATCTGACTTTCTTACTTGAAATATTATTGAATCCTAACAGGCATGCCTGCTCACTAGACATTTAAAATTATCTAGTGGACAGTCACTGATGAGATTTGAAAAACACTTGATACCAGTTAGAGTTGATAATTCAATAGAAAACGTAAAACTATTAAGCATACTGATCTTGCCCACGTCTAGTATAATTTCTGTGGTCGATTGAGCATAATAAGAAGAAACAAGGAAGCAATCATGAGAGGATGCTTCATTATGAACAGTTTTCAGTCAACTTTTTGAAAAAAACTACCTACCATAAATAAACACAAAGACAGTTAACTATACCAAAGTTCATTTACTATTCTTCACAATGAAATCTGATTTTTCTGTTTATTACAATTCGTTTACTAACTCTCAGTACATGCAAATAATACTGAAATTTATACACGCTTTATTCAGCGATATGAATAGATAATGTTTAAACACTGATTAGCTTCTATATATACTAACTGACATTGTATATTACTAGTCTTGTTTCTATGAAATCCCGTGCGTTTTAGGGAACATCTAAATATAATTCAGAGCAGATGGCGAGTAAGATAAATGAATCGCCGTAACATTATATCTTGGCATTCACAGTAACAAGAGTCAGTACTCTGTAAACGTCTTCTGAAAGTTAGTGACAGTAAATATACTTTCGTGAAAAAAGTAGGTCTCAGATTTGAGTAGGAAACTATGACTTGCGATACTGTTTGATAGATGCTAATTGTTCATAGATGCGATTTTTAACAGCTTAAAAAGATAGGCAATGTTTAATTTAAATAATTTGCATAACATCAGTAGTTGCACATGAATTTTCGATTCGATATTTCACAAAATTAAGTGTAATATATTTCTCTAGACCTCGAAATACTGGAAAGACCAAGAGGTATACAAATCTTCTAATCGTCTGACAAAAATTGACGTCACTTAAACCGGACCGCTAACATTCATTAAATACTAAAATCCAGGCAACTTGAGGTTGGATAGTGATAACTAAAAATCAGTGTGAAAGTTCTACAGCAGGTTACTTACAGCCCGAATACCTAACAGTAAAAAAACCCACCTAAATTTAAGGATTTTTGATTATAAATTTTATTTTCGCTTTGCCGTTAAATTTTATGACCTCGATAACAAACAAAAATAATTTCGTTTTCACGATTTGTGAACGAAAGAAAAAAACAAGACAGACTGCATATAAAAAACTTTAGATTCACTGGTAAGCGTACAGCCCATAATTAAATGGAATATGACAGTTGAGGTAAGATGAATTTTTAGACGGTAACCAAACAAAATTCAGTGGATGAAGGCAATTTGTAAAAAAAAGTGATGGTGATTAATTATGGACGACATAGTAGGCTGTACTAAGCAATTAACTTCATTTTAGACTGAAACTTCTGTATTTTAACTGTCAATTAATTCAACCTGACTTTTGGTTCATTTGTGAGAAAGCATCTGATCGTTTATGTCCTATTTTTCAGATTACATATAAAAGTGGAGAAATATATGTTCCACTACTAACTACAAAAGACACAAAATATGTTCACTCTGAACTCCCAGTTCAGTCCAATTTACGTACCTGTGATTATAAGCTTCTACAACCAAAATTTCATACAGATTTCACAAGGACAAACAGTTTTGTATCATTTACTAAACCAGGTAGCTATTTAAGAATTACAGGATGGAAAGTTGTTCTTCATGGTGAAATAACATTTACTTTACGCACAACTACTCTTAATGGACTAATCATTTACAGTAATTCTGTAGCTGAGCATGATTTATTTCCAAGAAATGTCAATGGACCAAATATACTAGAAAATATAAAAGAAACCAAACAGACTGGTTTTGATATATTCGCTCTTGAGCTACGGTTAGGAAGGTTACATTTTTTATTGAACACTGGATCAGGTATTGTTCAACCGGAATTCGATAGAAATTACTTTGAATCACAAAGTATAGGTTTTATTTCGGACGGAAAAGAACATTCTATTCAAATTGTATTTGATGAAGGAGATTTGACAATTAATGTTGATGGTGAAAATTTCGTAACACATGGTACAGGCATAAAAACGTGAGTTTATGTTGTTTTAACATGAAAATAAATAATTTAACGTTTATTTACAGTGCCTCGTTAACTAGGATAAGATTATTCATAGCTCCAAAAATATGTTTGATTGATATTTCTACACACTGCATAATTCAACGTCATAAATCATGCGAACAAATGAAGTCTCATATTTTCATGCTCGTTGAAAATTTAAATAGTGATTAAATATTTTACAGTTTAATGTAAGCTGAATTAGATTGAAAAATACGTGAAATGATGAAAAACGTATATTTCATGAACATGAAGTAAAAACATCAAACAAAGTGGTTTGATAATAGTGATTTATTTTCTCAGTCGTATTATATATTTTCATTGACGAAATTTCGCTTAGTTTATTAATATCACATTCTAAAACAGATACATTTAGTTTTACTGATAAATTATTTGTTGAAAATAATAAAAATATAATACAATGCAGGCGAGTGGTTACACTTTAACAAGCAGAAACCTTATAAGCGTCATTTTCATATTATATTTTATAGAACACTACTTTACCAATACACTTAGGACAACTATTTAAAAAAAGATAAGTGGAGATGCAATATGATCCGTTCTATCCTCCATTGTTGTATATCTATTCACACGATCCTACCAGACAATACAGTTGATAAAGGTAACTTAATAAAAAGTTATTTCTATAAGAAATACTTAAAAGACTCTCATGTAATCTATGGCAGTGAAATAAAAAAAATTGAGACTGCCAAAATAATTCTTTAGCTGGCAAATAAATAGAAATCCATCTCATACTTGCATACAGAAGACTTTCCTCATGAAATTTTAACTCAAGTTTATTTGAGCTATGACTAAAATACACAATAGTTAATAGAAGTTAAAAACATATATGTCATATTCAATAATCTCTAAATCACTCACAAAAGCTTATGTAACTACAATACAAGCTATAAACTTGATGAACTTAGATATGTCATCTTCTCATCTCTTTGAAAATAATGCAAACATACATACAAATCAAATTCAACCATATAACTGTAAATCGATTATTCATCTCTTATTGCTTTTCTATTTAGCTATAAATACTTAAACTTGAATGATTACTTTTATATTGGAGGTCTTCCTGAATCAATGCGTCAAATTAATTCATTTATATCGCCTGAAGTATGGTCAGCTCAATTAAGACAAGATTTTGTTGGATGTTTAGGTGAATTCAATGTAAATAAGCGTTTATGGGACATAGATTTAGAAAGGCGACCATGTTGGTCTAAACCGTTTGTGGAAAATGGATGTAAATTATCTTCATCAACTAATTTTTGTACAGAAAAACCATGCAGAAATAAAGGTCAATGCATTTCTAGTTGGAATATTTTCGAATGTGATTGTAGTAATACTAATTTTAGTGGTAAAACATGTACAGAAAGTAAGTAATTATAGATTCTAACAGTTTGTCTTTTTTTCTTAACATGCAAACTAAAGTAAGTTACTGATGCGCAACTTCAGACCAAACATTCTGATCACTGGCCGTATGATCGTCAGGGCCTGGATGCAATCTCTGATGAGGTCGTGGTTGTCTTTCACTAAGAAATTACATAACAAAAATAAAGTCACTGTTTAGTGCTTCTTAGCCCTGACTTTTTGCCTCACCAAAGTCAGCCTGCGATGTGAAGATCTAGTCAGAACTACCTCTATTACATACTATCAAAAAACTGAACTCTCAAAAATAAAATCCCATGTATAAAACTATGAAATTTCGTTATCTGGTGTCAGCCTAAAAAATCATAAAGTCCAATCCTTACAAAATTGAGTAATATTCGTCTTGGTTGTTTAGAACACCCACTACGAAGCTCATTTGTGTGGTAAATTTAACAATGAGTCCATACAATATAGGTAAGCGGATGTGTAAGTAGTTATTCACCAGACAGTATAACTATTTCAAAATGTATTGTTTTTAATGTATTAGAAATCAGTCAACGAAATTTTATGAACATACTAATAATTCATATGTTTTGGCCATACCCTAAGAGTATGTTGATCATTTTTAAACCACATCAAATAGATGAATGCTAATCTAAAATCAGTTAGTATAGAAATATCAACAACGTATATGATCTGATGATTATTACTGACAAAACTGTAGTGAGACCAGATGTAAAAATCCTGCAGTCCTGTGATCAAGTGTTTTAATCTATTATCATTGTTTTTAAATATTAGTTTAATGATCTATAAGTGTCTGCAAAATACTAAAGCTTTTAACCTCAATCACTAATTTTCGTAACTCTGTCAAATGTTTTTAAACACGAATCCTAGGTAATGACTTACATAGTACATTAGAATGTCAGATGATTTCTTAGTTAGAAAACATCCCCCTGCTATCAGGAGAGATGAATAACACATTTCAAAAAGAAAGATTTATCAGGGAATGGTTTATAAAACTCACACTAGAAATGGGTTGTTTGTATAAGTAAATATAATATAGAGTTAAAGGTTACACCAATTTATCACAATTTAATCAAGTTCAACAAACCGCAGCTACAAACCATTACGCTATATATGGTGTTTTACTGCTAATGAAGAATAACAAGGTTTACTGGAGTTACAATCATATCTTTAGGCTCATTTTAAACTTTGATCTTCACTGTGTCAAGAAAGTAAATAATCATTGAAAAAAAATCAATAAACGAACCAACTGTTAACATTTATTTTTTACTGACTTAATCCGGTCAGTTTCTTTCAGGAATAAGTAATAGTTCTGCAACTAGTAACATACATAAAATGGCCAAGTTAGATTGTCAATCAAAAAATTATTTCACCTTACAGAAAGAAAGAAATCTCGTATTCTGCTAAACAATTTAAATGATCCTATGATTCCTACAATAACTGATATATTTATTTTTCTAACTTAAAAATGATTTCAGAAGATCAGGGCTGTGTCCAAAGTTTATGAAAATACCAGTTAACTAACAATAAAGTTGAAGTAATTACTTCAAATGACATATCTAACCAACCAGAAATGGTCTTCTGGACAAACTTCAGAAATACAATCTCTTTGTAAGAGCTGATAAATCATAATAGTTGGTGTCAATAAAAAACCATGTTTATTGAATTTCATCTTTACTTTATTCATACATCGTTTACCATGAAAGGGTCACCGGAAGTGTTAGTGATTTGATGCTTAGCCTGTGTAGCCTCATGTCAGTTAAACATTTGCTTTACTATACAACAACGGAATCTTTTATCTATCATGCAGCTTAATTTGATCATCGTTGAATTAGTAAGCTTTAAGGAATCTTGAATAATTCTTATAAGCAAAAGGGAACATTGAAACATATCAAAGGTACACCAATGAGTTAATTTTTTGAAAATGTATTCAAGAATTATATCAAATTTAAAGCTTATCAGTTGATCGAACTTTATTCATCAGTCGATTAAAAATTAATTTATTAAAATAATATAAATTTTCTTTCTTCAATCAAAAAGAAAATTATGATGATACTATTGAGAGAACAAAAATTTTAATTACTACTCAAAAAGACTTTATGATAACAATGAAATTTATTTCTTACAATATAATAAAATTTAATGTTTTGCAGAAATTATATAGAGCATTGAATTGGTAGAAAAAATAAAAAATTTTGAAAAAATGCTTTGTTTTATTACACACATAAAATCTAGTGTGTGGTTTCACTTGTTTTATTATTCTTGAATATTTACATTGTTATCAGTTTGAAATTAGTCAAATTATTTGTTGAGCAATGTTATATAAAAAACTTTTTCTCAATTTCGTAGATCCCATTATTGTTAGCTTTGATGGGTTCCAATGGTTGTGGATAAAATTCAGTCCATTACCTATTCAATCATCCATTGAAGAGTTGACCTTGAGGTTTAGAACTAAATACGAGGATGGATTTCTGCTCACAACAAGAAGTTCCATTTTATCAGCACCAGATTGTTTAGAATTAAAAATTATTTCCGGCTACTTATCGTTAATTTATAACCTGGGTGCAACTGACAATGTAAGTCTCAATTTATATATAAATATATATATATCTAGTGACAAACCATTTATTTTCATCGGATATACTTTAAGTTGAACCATTTTTTCTGAATTAACTTTAGTGAGGATAACTATGTTCTTGCACCGTGTATCTGCATGATCCTAATAAGAATTCGCTGAATCTAACAAACTATATCAAATTTTTCTCATATCTGGTGAACATTATTTCATAAAAACAGAAACTTTTTCGATTATTTGTAACAATAATAATAATAATAACAGACAATAACAAATGATTTTTGTCTTAGACAATTGTATACAAAAGTAATAACAGACTTTTAAAATATATTTCATTCAGTCACTTAGTAATTTCCTGGATAACATACACAAATTTAAATAGTTTTATCAGTTTTATTTATATTGATTATTTTCAATCTATAAGTTAATTTAGATGACTATTAATTGCATAGTCTTTTCTAATTCCTATGATACTGTCACACATTATCACCTCAATCACCCAGACGTAATTTTCAACGTGTTTTTTAAATTATGTTCATAAGTTTAAACATAACATCTGTTGTGAATTTTCGACTTCAATAATCACATATTTTCTTAATGTTTTAGTCGTAATCCAGTTTAAAGTGAACCATTTTGCATTGAATAAATCTGGGTGAATTAGAAATAAACTTCACTCTTCTCTTTTTTGATGTAGGTCCAGAGTAAGTGTTTTCCAGCTTCAAAGCACAAATAATAAAACTAAATGAACCAGCAAAACTTTTTCTATTCATTGTGATGATTAGAGGTTTACCTTTAAAAGCCATGAACGATGAGAATTATTCTACAACAGAAGTTTCACTTCATTCTGTTAAGGAAGTGTAGCGCAGTCAATCACAGTCAAACACAACTTCAATCAATTTTATAACAAACATAATTCCTAACTGTGTACACTTTAGTGACTAAAGGAATAGAAAGATGATCGTTTTTACTGATTACGACAAACTTGGATGACTGAATAACATGGACTATATCCATAATTTAACGCGCGAAATGTTAATAATCGCGTTTAAAATAAGAAACCTTTCTGTAATGTAATGTATTAAGTAGTGAAAAAGGGCTAGAAAATTAATTATTTAAAACGACTTAAATATCAGCTATTTTGAACAGTCTATCTGCATAGCATATGCCTGTTAGTGTACTTACTTACGCCTGTTACTCCCACTGGAGCATATGCTACTGTCCAGTATACTCCAACCTACTCTGTCCTGAGACTCCTTTTCCAGTTCTTTACACTTGCACCGCTTCTTCCTGATTTCCTCCTCCGCTGGGATCTGGTTTGTTCTCTCCCACAGTAGGTTGATGCTGATTGTGTCAAGTCAACGGATCCAAAGTATTTGCGTACACAACTGTTAATAAATACTTGTATCTTTTGGATGATAGCTTTCGTAGTTCTCCAAGTTTCCACCCCATACAGAAGAACTGTCTTGGTGTTTGTATTGAAGATTCTGATTTTGGTGTTGATTGACAGTTGTTTTGATTTCCAGATGTTGCTCAGTTTTAGAAATGCTGTCCTTTCTTTACCGACCCGCACTTTCTTATCTACATTAGATCCACCTTGCTCGTCAATCAGATACCCAGATACGTAAAAATGTTAACGTCCTCCAAAGCATCTCCAACAAAAGTGATTTGGTTGGCACATGTGATGTTGCATCGCAGAATCTTACTTTTCGCTTTATGTATGTTGGGACCTGCTACAGCTGAGGCTTCCACTACACTTCTCGTCTTCTCTTACATCTGTTGTTGCGTGTGTCCGTGTATGCTGTTACGATGTTGGGTGAGTTCAGTGGAACTGGATGATTCAGGGGTTCCTTAAAGTGCTCTACACACCTGTTTCGCTTTTTTTAATGTTGCTGATTACTTTGTCTTCCTTACTTTTGGCTGGTCTTTATGGTTTACGAGCTTCTCTATTGTATCGTACAGTTGTCTCAACTTTCCCTCTCTTGCAGCCTTTTCTGCCGATAGTGCAAGATCTCCCATATATTTGCGTTTGTCAGCCCTGACGCTCCGCTTCACTTGCTCGTTCACCTCTGTGTATTCAGCTTGTGATTTGGCTTTTTCTGCACTTGTTTGGCTTGTAGCTACTGCTGCCTTCATATTCCTCCTTCATGGAATGTTAACCAGAATACCAAGAGAGATCCATTCTTTGTGATGGTGCTTCTTGGGGCCAAGAGCCTCCTGACATGTTGAAGTGATTTCCTCCTTGATCCCTTTCCAACTGTTTCCATGGTCGTTTCCTTTCCATTTAGTAGATCTTGAAAAGAAACTTCTGTGATGCTGTCTGCCCCGTTATCCAGTGTTTCTTGAGTTTCAGTTTTATTTTAGCGACCAGCAAGTAGTGATCTGAGGCTATATCAGCCTATCTTGATTCTCACATCCTCCATGGTCCTTCTGAACTTTTTGTTTATACAGATATGGTCAATTTGGTTCTGAATAGTGTGGTCCGGTGAAATCCATGTGGCTTTGTGAATGCGTTTGTGCGGGAATACTGTGCCACCAATGACCAGTTTGTTGAAGGCACATAGGTTTGCAAATCTCTCACCGTTTTCGTTCCTTTCTCCCAGTCCAGTCGTCCCATGATGTCTTCATATCCAGTAATGTCCATGCCAACCTTGGAATTCGGGTCTCCCGTGAGAATGGTCAAATCCTTTGGTGAGCATCTGTCGACAGCTGACTGCAGCCTTTCGTAGAATTGATCTTTAACGTCTTCATTGTAGTCATTGGTAGGTGCATAGCATTGGATGACGTTCATTGTAATGTCCTCTTTCTTTGTTTTGAAGGATGATCTGATGATCTTCAATCCATGAGATTATCATCCTTATCAATGCCTTGTGTGCTTGTTTAGACAGCATCAGTGCAACTCCTTGTCTGTGTGTGAGTCGTTTTCTTCTTCATGGCTTTTAAAGCCACAAATATTTGCTGATATCTATTTCTTAATTCAAAGTTTAGAATTAGGAATGTGATATTATCACATATCATGAACGATGTTACCGATTTTGAAACATTACCTTTTGATGTACAAATATAAATGCAAAGCGAAGTCACACTTTCATTACTTTTATCACTTTCAATAGAGGATTTATTTAAAATATGCCTATGAACAATAATCATCTTGTGCAACCACTTACAATGTTTAATTTATTCATGATTTCGATTTCCTACCAGTCATTTGGAAACGTTAATATTTTATTCAATTTGCGTGTTCCAATTGTAGTAGTAATTACATTTTAATTGTTAGTAATATTCGAAATGAAATTGGACCTGCAATTGTACATGTTTATTATGTAATAAATATCATAGCTGTGGAAATTTTTCCAAACTGTAACGTTTAATATTTTTACATGACAATATAACATATTCTGTTGTTTCAAACTACTCATGTATACCTTTATAAACATCTAATTCGATGCTGACTAGTTTGTCCCACTGTCTCAACATTAGTTATACATATTACCTGTTCAAGCTTGTTTTAGAAAATGATAGTTGAAAACACCTTCTACAATTATTCGTTTCCGTCATATATTTCAAAAAACAAAGAAATCATGTCTTTGCCAAGTAACGAACTTTATTCTACAGTTAAAATCTGTTTGATACAAAAATGTAGATGTCCTAATGATGAACTAGTTTGACTCTCATTTAGTTCCCCAATGTTTGCTTAAGAATATTTGGATATACGATGAATAGAGAGCAATACTAGCATTTTAGAATTGTACGAAACTATAGTACTTTGTACATTTTCAAAATGTGTATAAAGAAAACACCATATGAAATTTAATTTTGTTGAGTAAACATTATTATTTAACTTACGAACAATTCATATCTGAAAACGTTTAAATTTACACAGATGGCATTTCCATTCTTGTTTACTTTGCCTAAACAACGTATACAAAAACATTTATTTTAGATTATTAAGGAAATTTTATGGTATTCTTAAAAAAAATACAGTAGTTTAGCGATACAATAGGGACTAAACAATAAGTTTATTCATTTACAATTGCCAGTTATTTTTCATTCTTTCAAAATATTTCACATTAAGCCAAAGTAGTAAAACTCAAAATAGTAGTGATTTGGACGCTCAAAGTGATCAGCAGTGATCAAAATCAGGGGATTCCACATTAGTCACTGCTCACCTTTTTCACAACCCTAACTTATTAGTGATTTCGTCTGAACAAATGGTAATCGTACTCAATCAAATCAGTGAATGTTTATTTTCTAAATTTTATTTTTACTTTCTACATTGAATAATTTTTCAGGGAAAGTATTCCATTCTGATCTTGAATCTTGAATGATGTTTCTGACAAACTTAGTTTAGTCAACTCTCATTAGACATTCAGAGATGTGGTGCATTCACAAAAACTATATATTTCGATTCTCAGTGACTATCAAACACCAATTAACTGATTTTTCTTTCACGAAAATTCATTTAACTATAACTATTATTCATAGCACAAGCTGATATAACTAGAATTGATCAGCGATATAACAGTAAACGACAATCTGAATATTAATAATGTCATCACTTTATTCCTTTTCTAATTTAGGTGTACCATAACCCCGTGTACATAGCTGACGATCAATGGCATACTGTAAAAATTTACAGAAGACAAAGTGTTCTAAATTTTTCAGTTGATAATCTGTTTCAAACTTTTGGTAGGTATTCAGTTTTAACTGATGATATATATTTATTGTACTGAACTGTTTGAGGTACTGAATGAAGTTATAAAATGAACTTATACTTATTCAGCTTATTGTACGATTAAGTACGTTTGCTTTCATTTTTTATATGGATAAAATTATTCGGGTAGAATAAAAATATTTAGTGTTTGTGTTTTAATCATCTCATACTCTGTAAATCTTGTTACTGAATTCGGCATATTTTAACGATTTGAATTTTTATTTAATTATTTCTATTTTTCTAAACGCTGCATCATTTGATAATATTGAGTGTGTTTTCCATACATAAGACCTGCTAAATTATGTTTCGTAGAATTGTTAATAAGCCAGATTTGTGCATTATAATACATCAGAAAAGGATTCAATTCAGTTATGAATTTTAAGTTATTAAATAAATTCTTGTTTATTTTAAACTGGAAAGAATGCAGTTATACAGAGAGTCTTTAATTACAACTACTAACAAACTTAATAATCCAAACATTGTCTAAGTATTTTTAGTTTAACTGTTTCAAAAAAAATAACTTCGACAGTTTACTGTACAGTTTAAGTAATTTTAATGACTAAAATTCAATTATAGTAACTAAATTTCTCCTAAGTTTAGATGACTTTGCTAAGAATTTCAGTCATTGAACCTAGGGAAACTGTATAGTGTGAAAATTTTCAAATACCTTTATCTCATAGAAATCAAATATTTCATTTTGTAGACATTCCAAAAGATGATCGTTATCTCTCACATCATCATTTAATTTTTGGTAATTCCGAAGATGCTCTAACAAATCAACTAATGGATACACCAACACAATTCCGTCAAATCAAACAAATAAATAATATCAATGTTCATGTTTTTATTGGTTACCTAATGGTTTTTCTATTCAACGGTGTTGATTTTTTACGAACTGCTCAAAATTTGAAACATGATCCTAGTTTATATATTTGGAAAGATAAACTAGACATTAGAGCTTTTCAAAGTAATCATGAACCAATTCTTGAGCTGCCATTAACATTCAGCCATAAAGATTCTGCTATAGAAATTCAACTTAAACATGCTGCAGGTGAATTTATTCTGGGAATGTGGATTAAATGGAAGGTAAGTGGAGGAAGTTAAGATTGTCATATTACTATGAAATTCGCGTCTGAGATGTCCATCATACATTCACATATTATGGGGTTAATGTTCACTGTGAATTCACGTACAAAGAAAGGAAGGTATTTAGTTCAATAATTAATTATATTGAAAGTATTTAACTGTCTGAGAAAATCAATAATTCAGTCAACATATTTTCTATCCTTTTATGCTGTTATAAATGTGATTTGTAAAATAAGCGACAGAAAAATTGTCAAGGATACAACAATAATATGACAGAAGAAAGAGAAAAGAAAACTAGAATTCTGAACGTGGGAATAGCGAATTTTTAATTTGAATACTACAGTAAATTGTTACTGTCTGTTATATTCCTAGTAATCTCTGCATTATCTCAATTTCATTTAATTAGTAACTGGATTATATAAGTACTGTTCGGGTAACAGTAAAGATGGTCAAGTGTAATTTTGGCGAGCTCAAGTTGGAGATAGATAAACATTAGCATATTGTAGTCAACCTTTGTACATAATTTTACTTAAATAATGAATAAAACAAATAAATACTCTACTGATTTCATAAAGCTATTAACATATTTTAGCCCAAGTTAAACTGGTACATCAATAACGAGTCAAAAATGCAGTACTATAACTGTGTGAATCATATTGGAAAAGAAATAATCAATTGTATTTTAAATGTTATCTTTTATAAATATTTCGTTTAAACGAGTTTATTGTCTTGAACAAAAAAACACTAAAAAAAATTGATAAATTTACGCTAGATTATATCTGTAGAACTGATTGAAAGATATTTAATTGATGGTTCAGTAAACATCAAAATAGTTAATGTAACGGTATTAAGGAAACAAGTATATTCAAAAGTTTTCTGGAAAAAAAATGACGTTTTTTTGACAATAATTCCAATTTCTTTTATTTATGCAATTATTCAATTATAATATTTATGAACTGAATACAAAGTAACTGCACTGTAATATCATGGCAAGTAGGTTAAATCATAATTTGAATAATTTTATATAATGTCTAGGTGTTTATCAACATGTTTACTGAAAAAGTTTTCCATACTGAGATCTCTTGAATAAAGTGGCAATCTCCTAATATCCAACTAGAAAAAAATTATGGACATTTTGCTATTTTTTAGTCTTATTTATCTTTGAAAATTATTTAAGAGAATTCGTTGTAGACAGTATATGTTTGCGAAATTGACAAACTGTAGACTTTCTCGATATTTTCTAAAGTTCAAATTTCAAACTAATGACACTGCCTTTTTACCTGAATTGTGCTGTTTGTCTCTTTTACACTGAACAAAGAAGCTACTAATATATCATAAAAATAAAATAAAAATACGTATAATAGTCAACTATTTTAATAGCTCTTAAGCTGACATTTCTGTTGTGTGATTTCAATGTTTGTTATGTACCTCAACAAGGAAAATATAAACCAGTTGTTGAATAAAATTCCTTCGTTTCTAACGATTTATTAATCTAATCAGTTGACGAGAAAAAAATTCAAATAATCGCTGCCACCAATAAAGCAGCTCATGAAATTAAATTATGATACATCGTCACTGATGCACCTTTTCAGCTTTATCATTGTTAGAATTCATAAAGAAAACTTTTAGTCAGTTGTTATTATTATATATGTATGATATTTTATTTTCTCTCATTTTTGTCCACGATAGAAATCTGGCACAATTCTGTTACTCCAAGATGGCTTCCGTCAAAATTTCATTTTAGAATTGATTGACGGCAGACTACAATTGATACATGTCAATAATGATCAAGTTGAAAAACATTTTATAGGTGGAAATCAAAGACTGGTTGTAAGGCGATGGTATCATATAGAGGTAAGTTACGCATGAAGATTATCTGATATTTTTGGATAAATGTTTAATCTTGTTAAAATGAGACAAAGCGATTCCTGTTCTGTTACTGAGTAGTCAAAACATTCAGTTTTTAGTCACTAGTTCGCAAGGCACTGCCTTTAATTTGTGAGCGCCAAAAGAGTTCATGAAGCCATGTTGAATGAATGAACTGATGCTGGCATTCATTACGTTACATTATGCATTATTCACAGTGAATAAAAAGAAATTCGAAAATGTTACTCATTTTCAGTCTAAGCTAAGGTTATTTGGAGTGATTTTACTGAGTAGTCAAAACATTCAGTTTTTAGTCACTAGTTCGCAAGGCACTGCCTTTAATTTGTGAGCGCCAAAAGAGTTCATGAAGCCATGTTGAATGAATGAACTGATGCTGGCATTCATTACGTTACATTATGCATTATTCACAGTGAATAAAAAGAAATTCGAAAATGTTACTCATTTTCAGTCTAAGCTAAGGTTATTTGGAGTGATTTTATTTCCGTCATTCACAAACATTTACTTTAAATGACTACATTCCATTCTGTGATAAATCAGAATTTGATTTCTCGTCAAACTAGGTGAACGTAGTGTACGCGAAAGACATATATGCTTTATGAAATACAACTAAGATTAAAATCGTTCTAAGACTATCTTGCTCAACATCATATGCAAAATAACGCACTGTAATGTCATAAAATTCTTTGATTGTTTAGTAATTGTTCATAATATTTCGTATATCAAGGGCAGTTATATATATATATATGTGTATATATATATATATATATATATATGCGAATTATCTTTAAATCCAACTTAAAGAACTAATACTGTTGTTTAATTCATAAATTCAGGTCACCAAACATAGACTAAATCAATCAATACTTATTCGGGTCAATAATCAATCTACAATTATCAAGATGAATATTTCAAATTATTTCACACTGAAAACCATAAATATTGGAAGTTTATCTACAAGGTATGAATAGTATGTGGATTATTGTAAATGAATACGCAGTGAATTGTACTTATTATTTTCATTCCAACAACAAGAAAATTGCTTCCTGCAATTAAGTGTCTTATTTAAAACCTAGTCAGTGCTAATATTTTTAAAATAATTGACAGTAAAATATATAAAACGTTTGTTTACATAGAGTTTTATATATTTTAGCAAGGAGTCCTAAGGAGTTGTTGACAAAACTAGAATCTTGATCTCGCATATGTATCTAACTGTTATAAAACATCGTGTCTTCACTTGCTTCAGAAATTTCAACACACCATCTAGAGAACATGAAATGTTTTTTTTTAAAGACAAACTATTCAATTACTAAACACTGAACAGTCAGAATTGAAAAAATCAATTAGTGATGATCATATTCAGCCAAACTAAACTTTAAATATATAATGCAGGAGCAACACAGAAATGTTACAAAAAATACTAAAGTAAAACTTAAGAAAATAATTTTTTTGATTTCTGTAAAAGTGAGAAGCAGAAAACGAGAAAAGTATACATAATTAGTATTCTATTGATTTTTTTCCTTACCATATATCTTCAGAAAGTCAAATCACAATACATATGGCAACTACATGCAAAAAATATCAGGATTTCAAGGTTGCGTAGCATCGTTTTCATTCAATTATTCAATTGCTTATGGTCAGTCATCACTAAATGATAAAACACCACCGAAGTTCCAAGTGAACTATCTTTATTCAAATGATACACAAACAGTCAATTGGCATAATGTGCAAATGGGTTGCCACTTTTCCGACAGTGAACAACGAGATCTGAGTCAGTGTTCAAAGAATCCATGTCGCTTCAATGGGATCTGCATGCAACAGTGGAATTCTGTTACATGTGACTGCAGTTTAACCGGTTTTACCGGGAAGTTCTGTGATAAAGGTAGTTTGGTATTTAACGCTACTATTGATTAGAATCTTTGAGTAAAACAAAAAATGAATGGTAAAATATTCGATTCACGTCCAATTTTCTAATACACTAGTTTAAATAAAAGTATCAGAAAACAACAGTATGGTATTTCAAGGTTCCCACAGCAGCTAAGGTCTAGCAAACTTCAATGTAGATTTTTACCAGGTTAAAAGTAAATATGAGTATTCTTAAAGTCGGCAGAAAGTTCAAATAAAGGTAGATAGATTGAATGAAACCTTTTAAATCAATATACTAAACAAATAAAAGTTCTAAAACACCAAATATTTTCCCAGCTACAAATCAACAGAATAACAATAAATCTCTTACTTACACAGAATCAGCGAATATTTTTTGTCTAAGTACCAAATTATGTACACAAGAAGAAATTCTGGTTCCTCTGACACCGCTATAGTGACTAAATCATTGATCAATATCCCCTCCTTTTCCTCTCGGTTCGTTTGTTTGTTTAACCCCAATTTTATTTCATCACAATAACACTTATTTTCTACTCAGTCGAAAATTCATTCAATTACTTCCGTTTTCTTATATCCTCTTCAAATTTTATGATCATTACTATTATGACTGCCTCACTATTGTTTTTTGGTAATTACTGCCAACTTCATCATTTATTATTCCCCAATAATCATATCATTCTGTGCATGAATTTTGTGATATCGGTCTCTTTAATTCGTTCACCTATATTGAAGTTGTACAAATATGGTATTCGTACATATGAAATGACAGGCTAAGTTAAGATGGAATATATAAACCTAATCACAACACTAGTATTTTATGAAATATTTACATTTATTCTATCAATAGCCATTTGTATCTGTTGTGCTTTCTGCCATGTAAAGTGATTATAGACTGTCATCTCTCAATTCTCCCTAGTAATAACTTCCAGGAGTCTCTCCATTGTATGATACTTAAAAGCCACCTTGTGAGCTGAGTCCATCGCATCTGATTACAATAATGGTCGATAATTACAGAAAGCTATTTATTTATGCAACTTTGCCTGAAACCGCTCTGAGGCTAATGTCGGTTACAAGCCCAGATAAAGGTAGAGGGATGGGCTTAGAGTTGACGACCTAATTCCGTAGAAAACCGACCCACCAGAAAACGCTAACCAGAAAATACATTTGAAACCAGTTAAAATGCCCTGGAAACTAGGTTTTCATTTATAAGAGATATCATGCCTCGTGATGAAAGCTGAGTTCTTTTGGAAGTCATCAGGCCGATGCCAGGGCAACCATTCTCCAACAATTGAGGAGATCAGTTTACCTATCAGAGAGATTAAGATTGCAAATCTGCAGGGCCAGCAGAAGCGATGAATGCAGAAGTGGCAGCAACTGCAAAAGTAATCCTTATTCTCTCCAATAAGATTTGGGATGAATAAAAAGTGCCAACAGACTGAAAAGAAAGGTACCTGAATAAAATACCAGAGGAAGGAGATCTCAGCAAGTGTGAGAACTACAGAGGCATCACTCTTCTCTCAACAAAACAACATGCACAAACCACATCACTCTTGATGTGGATGCTCTGGAGGATGAAAATGCTTTACATATCTGGGCAGCATGAGGAGGATCTGATGTAGATTTGAAGATGCACATCGGCAAAGCAAAACACCATAAACCCCGTTTTTTGCGCTACAAAATCTAAAATACCACAATATCAATAATATTTTCCGATATATCTGAGTCTTTCAATGTATATGTTTTGCTTATGGTTTTTGTAAATTTGTTTCATACATTTAATTTCACCAACAGCCAGCTCTCCACATTAAGAATTAGACTATTATATTTTCTGTAGACGAGGGAAATATTACATTAAATAGTTTAATGATCACACTAAAGTGGTTTAGTGTGAATGTTTCTTTGGTATTCTGAACAACATCATCTGCGCATATTTTAAAGGGATGTGAAGTATTAGAAGGTATGCCAACCAACTAAACTTCAGTTCAACTTTTCCTTGAAAACATTCAACTCAAAGCACACAATACCAAGAGATTCTAATGAATTCACCACCGTAGTTAAAAGCTTTTGTGGATGATATTAGACTAGTATCAATCAGGGTTTAAAGTTTTCTGAATATCGAATCGTGACAACTTACTTCAAATGTTTTCTTTAACAGCCGGACCATCAGTTCGCCTTTCAGAATTGCCTAGAAGATATTCTGTTTTTGAACTGTATTCACCTCAGAATACTACATTAGATAAACTGGCGTTTGGAATACAAATAATCAACCCTGGTTCGATGTCATTGATACATATTCAAGGACAAGGTCAGTCTTCAGACTTCATACAATTATCTCTATTACACAATAAGGTAAGACAAAAATTATTATCCTATGTAAACATAACTATAGCTTGTTACGTTATTCTTTTTCATAAATTGGGTGCACAATATTAGTTCTCAGTAGAAAATAAGAAAATGACAAGTAATTTGAACACTAGAGAGAAGATAAAATCAGTTAAAATATAATTTAGTCAATGTTGAAAGCAATGCATATTATTATTAGTGAATAATATGCTCTTAAAGCTTATTCAACATTATTTCATAATGAATTAAAATTAAATAACTTTGCGTGAATAATAAAAGCCACGATACAAAAGAAAAAAAAATCAACTGACTGAATACGAAAGAAAGCTTTGCGTTATTTAGTTGCTTTAACCAAAACTTCAACTAACTTCAGTTTCAGAATAATTTTTTTTGTTTCAATTCCGCCCTATTTCAGAAACATTATTCAAATAAGTCAAAAAATGAATGAGAAACTTTCATTTTTTTCCCAACGCCATACTATGCCATTATTTAAAAAAGTTTAATTGAACACAGTTGGATGCAACTTGAATGAAGCATCTTTTTCATGTCATACTCTCAGATTATTTACAATGACACTTCAATGTTTATACCCTATTCGTATTGTTCTGTAAAGAAAAGAATTATTACATTTTTTTATAGACACAGAGAGAATGAAAAAGATGGAATAAGAGATCATTTTTTGTGCCAGAAATATGTCTAAATTTTTTGGATTTATGTATATAGATGTAAACATCCATTTAGATAAAGCTCATAATCACCTTTAGCTATTATTCCGTCTGTAATCTACTATGTCATTTTTTGTATATCAAGAATGTTTACAGATTTCTTTTTTTGATGCTTCTCTCTGTCTTAGGATCAACTTAATCTTCTTGTTCGATATAATATGGGTGGTGGAACTCAAACATTGTTTCAACCCAATGTGAATTTTGATGATGGACATTTTCATGTCGTGCAATTTATACGACAAGAAGTGAAAAGCATATTGTTGATTGACTTTCAGCATGAAATCATAAAACCTACAGAAGGTAATAATACTAATTCACATGTGAAATTCATTTAATACTGCTACTATTTAGCCAAAAAACAAAGTCATGCTTTAATATTATTATTCCAAATTAGTCAACATACTTTTTTCATTTAATATGTTAACTAGTTTGAGAATAAAACATTTTGTACCTTGTAATCAAACCTGTAGTTAACAAAACTAATATTCCCAAAGATAGTGTTAACTGAATTCGACAACTTCAGTTTTTGTTCATTTGAGAAGAAATAAGGTGTATAACTTTATTATTATTATTATTATTATTCTAATTGGAAAAAAAGATATTTTAGGAATTAATTTAATTTACACTCATAAATATTGGATAGGCTTATCAACCTAAATTTCAGTCAGTGGCCAAAACTGTTTTGTTATTTCACGATGATACAAAATTAATAACTAATAGTATCGCTCAGTTGTTTTTTCTCATATACTATTTTTTCTTCAAATATATGAAGAAGAATTCTTAATACTTCACATCTAATTAACCTTTGTACTGATGATGTTGTTCAGTGGAACAGTGAAAAGTCCATGACCAAAACTTCAATTTGGGAGAACAAAACTCCACCATAATCATCCAACTGAGCTACAAACAAAAGTATTGTTTAGGTCACATCTTTATTGATATTTTATATCAATTAATCCTAATAGTCATTAGTGCAATGGGTGATAATATCAACCATAATCATTATAAGCAATCAAGATGAAACTCAAGTGTGTTTTTATGGATAACAAATCGATATATGATGTCAATAAAAGAACATTAATAGTAACTACCTATTCAGCATCATTATAATGATAATAAAACAAGAGAAACACAAAATTATAATTCTATCATTCATTCTCATAAGATTTTTCTCTTTAAGCCAACTTCAAACATTTCATGCTTAGTCAATAGTTTGATATATTGTGTTCATTGGCAACAGATTTCATACTATCTAGCTTGTATCTTAACTTTTGTCTGTATGTAGGAATGTCATTGGAAGAGAGTTAACTGAGTGTCAGTAAGCGTACTTGTTTTGTTTTTTTTTCAGATCAAAACAATAAGCATTTCAATTTGTTGAAACGAATATACCTTGGTGAAGCGCCAAAAATAAAGGGAATGCTGTCAGTTAATAACAGTAATGAAATCGTGTCCAGAAACGGATTTGAAGGATTTATTACCGGTTAGTTTAGATTAAAAGAATGCATGAAAGTTGATAGTATTTTCCGATGAGTAAATATGTTGTTAAATTAAAAATACTTTTTGCCAATATTACGTGATGTGAATGTATGAAATTCTTGTGTGCACCCATCCAAGTTAGATCATAGTTACGTCAAAGTACAAATGAAATTAATATCAGTGTACAACAATAATATTTTACTGAAGCTAAAAAAACACGAATTCATTGTATTATATATTCCCATCTTAGGCGAAAAAAAATATTTTTTAGTCGATCATTATATCAAGGCTACATACTAATATATTAGGTTTCGAAATTCGGAATATAATCAATACTAAACAAATGGTAGTTGATTGATCTAACAATCTCACTGTGAAAAATTCATTGAAGATAAATGTTTTTTTCGTCCTTCCTGTATGCAATTTGTATGAAGACTATTGCTATTTCGTCGCTGTCGCATAATATAGGAGTTCCAAACTAGTACGAAATTCCCGTCTTATAATTCACTGTTTACAATACCATTCCAATTAAGATCAGTTCATATCATACAATCTGTGTAAATGACATGGCTCAAAACCGTTTGCAATGCCTCAGGTGCATTCGTCAGCTGAGGTGGTTCGGACATCTGTTGCGTATGCTTAACCACCGACTACCTCGTCGAGCGATGTAGGAATATGTTGGACGAAAGCTAGGGGCGGCCAAACCAAAACATGGCAGAAATCCATAAAGTCATTGACAAGTGGACTGAGTCACGTTGGTAGGTGTCGACTACCTGGTTGGGGTCCGCAAGATAATAATAATCGATGGTTACAGGCCCTGAATGATATGGCTCAAAACCGTTTGCAATGGCGCAGTTGCATTTACTCTTTGTGTTCTCTCAAACCCTAAACTTTTCGATTCCTCATCATTTTATCTTTTTAAGTCCATTTCACTAGATTCTACTTCTTGACTAATATCTTCTAATCCTAACCTCTCCGACTACTGCTAATATCTCTACTACCTCTACTACTATTGGATTTGAACTGACAATTACATCTCTGTGCTAACGTGCGGTATGTACGTACGTACGAAGTTCTACGTTGCTATTGATTGATTGATCGATTAATTGTGAAAATGCTGTGATTTTGATAAAATTCTATTCTGAGAAAGATAATAACATTTAACACTTGTCAAACTAATAATAAAAACATTTTATTTGAAATTTCAAATTGAAGAATATGCAATAGGACTCTTAAGAGTGAAATCTTCACACAATCGCTGATCATAATTTTATTAGTTGTAAGCAAAGAACTTTTAAAATTAGCCTAACCACCATTTTTTTTAATTAAAGTGAAAAAATTGAAATAGGACAAAACTTGATATTGAATTTCATATTTTTAAGATTGTATTTGCAGCTGAATATTCTAGGATTGTTAAAAAATGAATTTATTTTCATATAAATCTTACGATATCTTTAAACAGCAAGCACTATGTTATAAAAGACAAGGATATATATTTTTTTTTCATTCATAAAAATACCAGGTTTAAATTTCAACAATATAGACTTGATTGAACTCTTGAATGGAAATATGGTTCCCGGTATATACTTGAAAACTCGAGAGAATATTGAATTCAATCCTAATTTTAAACCAAATATGAAGAAATTACATTCACATAGTAAACGGTGAGTTCATATGAAATTCTTTTTTGATTGATCTAATTAATAGAAGGAAATATGATTCGTTGCCTTTAAACACTGTCAAAATTTGTTTACAATTGTTTTATTGTTGACTTTTTAGTAAATAAAACTTTTAACTAGAATGATAGAGTTTTGATATATGAACAATAATATATATTTTAGGCAGTCAACAATTTACAGAAAAAGAGATTTTAATCTAATTCATAAAACTAAAATGGATTTATTTAGTGAACTAAACACTCACTTATAATTATTACAAAAGTAAGCACTTGATGTTTAAATGATAAGTACCTTTTGATTTTCATTACTGTTACAAAAAGCATTTACTCTGATGTCATATAAAAACCTGTAGTTTAATAAAAAAAACAGGACAACTCAGTTTATCATCATGATGAATCCAATAGAACGACTGAAGTATAAAATAAATTGAAATCTATCGAAACGAAAATACCATAAAAGAATTGAGTTAGTTTGTTAAAAACAAGTAATATCGAGTAGCAAAAGAGCTTAACATTTCTAACTGCAAAAGGTTACCTTATATATATGAGATACTTTTGGATGAGAGCGATCTCTCTAAACATGATATACAAAACACTTCAACGTGATTTATCCGCTTAGCAACAGTTTATGATTCGTAAATAGAAGTTTTCTTATTAATGTTAAAAGTTAACAAGAAAAGAAGAAAAGAAAAGAACATAAACCAGAATAATCTAGTGTACTGAAAGTTGAGCATTGATAAGAAACTTCGTGACGCTAAAATTATTCCTGAACATAGATTGTTTTCGAATATATACTTAGCTCTTTATGCAAAATAAATTTACGTTTTTGTAAGTCTGTAAGCTTACAGGCAATATTGGTTGTGACTTCATTGCTGAATTTGGTACACTTAATGATTCCGCTCTTGAATCAACTATGACTTTCAAAAGAATTATGCAGATTCTTAAGCATTCATGTACCCTAAAAAAGAGATATTTTTGAAACATTACCATACTGTTCAGAATTTCTACTCAAATAATTGACTAAAGTTTAAAATATGGAAGACATGAATTTTCATGGAAGCTATCTTTAGTTTATATTGTATATATTCACATATATTATTGATTCTATGACCGCACTATAGTTGCGAACATATTTCATTAACTTACTATGATTTACCGATTACATTGGATGAAATTTAAACTAAATCACATATATTTCTTTTGAACTATGAAAAGATATTCAATATGTTGTACATTGAGACGATTGACCAATGTAATAAAATAGCATTTACAAAGACTGCAGCATAATTTCAATTAAAAGTAAAACTATTTTGGGTCGGATCAGTTTCCGATTGTTATATGTGATTTACAGTGTGAACTAAACTAACTTTTTTATCAGCTGAATAACAACATCCATTATTAAGGAATATTTTAGTGAAAATAATAATGGCGTTCTAATAACTAAAACATACAGAACTTTTACTTATTGAAAAATGCATATTTAATAGGTGAACCTCCAAGACACTGCTAACATATTATTGACAGTAAATGGTAATACCGATCAATATTGCAATCTTGATACATTAAATCCACTGATACTTTTAAAAATACTTTCAATATCAAAACATTTGTATTGATTTTTCATCTAAAAAATAATTTCTTTGCTAGTAATATTACTAACAATGTTTAATTTTTAATTTCTATTACCTGATAGGACTGAACCGGAAACCACAAGTCAAAATGAAGCTAACGACATGCAACTTATAGCGGTTTGTTGATTATTATAATTCTTGTAATCCATATTGGTAGTAATCTTCTAATATTTATTACGTAAACAAGTCACAAAATAACCAATAGAAATTTAAAAATTTAAAATTTCTATAACAAATTAATTTTGCCGCCGTTTGAATTAAAAATTCAATCTCATATTAATGATGAGTTCTTTTACTAAGATGATTATTCTGTTTGTGAAGTCCTCAGGGGTTAAACAAGTAGAAAAAATCTTTTAGTCTCTTGCTTCATCAAACAAACAAGCTCATTTTTTATTCTATGATTTACTGGTATAATTAAAGAAAACAAGCCAAGCTAACATAAAACAATAACTATTTTTTTCAAATCTATCGAATTAAAACCAAAATAGGAAAAACCCGGTCAGTAGTTTTCCTACTAGTTTTAAGTTAATGAGAAAGATATTGTTGAGAAAAATTGATAATCTGTTATATGAATTTAATTTTTTAGAGGAACATGGCTGAATTAACCAAAAACAACAAAAGTTAAAGCATTTAATACAGAATAAGCAGAATATGTTTAGCAGTGGAACCAGGACGCACTTTTCTTCCTAACTGTGATTCATCACTTGGATTTACTTTAATTTGGGTTGATGTTACATCGAGGACTCGAATCCAGTACATTATGCTTCACACACCACCACGTTGTCCACTTAGCTGCTGAGTTCAGTTCATCAGCATCATGATGATTCAAACCACTTTAAATTAAATTAAAATCCATATTCATAGCAGAAACGAGTGCTCGTTTGGACTCAGTAACTAAGTTGATAGTGTTTAAGCAGTTATAGCCAATAATATCGGGTTCAAATACAGGAGTGAATTTCGAATCTAAGTTTCAGATGCATTCAAACCAATAAAAAATCGACTGACATACATAACAAAATTTTTTGAAGAAATAGTTATTACGATACAAGTATAATTGAATTCTTTTGCGTAATGTTTGTCAGTCTGATTTTATTATAATCAAATATACTAGTTTTTTCTATTGACAATAAGACAATCTTCTGTATTATAGTGACAGAAACCATTTTGCTGATATTTCTTCAATCTTCGTTGACTAATAATCATTCAATAAACCCAACTGATAAATAAAAAGCAATTTGTCTTACTTGTGGGTGACATTTTCCATGGGAACGACAATATTCCATGTGCGAACTTATAGATTTGAATTCCAGAATTCTAGGTTAGTAGTTAAAAAGAAGTTATCAGTTTAATCCCTATCACAGTCGTTCAAATGTTTAAGCTGTCCATCTTCTCGTTTCTGATTTTTGTGATGCTGTGATCGAAATACTTTTGCTGCCGAAATCACCTACAGTTTCGATAAATCGTTAGGGATAATGAGACGCAAATTGCGAATATCGAATAATTAGCCTATTTCAATCCTTTTTATCTATTTCTTGTACGCGTAACTGTCAGAAATATTTTTAATTTCAGTTGGTATTAGAGTACTGTGTAGACAATGCAATAAAACTGTTTATCTAGGTTTTCAAGTTCTCCATTAAAAGTATTCTTACGGATATTCTAATCTAAACAGTGCAATTTACATTTATTCAAATATATTTTGAATGTTACTTTCAAAATTTTAGTAAGAATATTTGATCATTTTTTTAGCTTACTTTTAAAAAAACCTCACTGGTCTTCTTATTATTTCAGACAGATTTTCATGACAGAAGTAACGACTATAAATCCCAGTCAATTATCGTGCCGAAAACAGATTGCCTAAAATATGACAATAGTTATAATTATAAAGAATGCCAACCAGCTGATTCCAGTGGTCTAATTCTACCATTAATTACTTTCAGTGATAATCCTCTTACTATGCGTGCTGCGTAAGTTATTAAATTAAAATTAAATTCTGATTTTCCCATGTACGAATTCCAATATTTACAAACTTGATTAGGTTTGTTTGCACAAAGTAGATCTTCGGTGTAAGATAAATGCAAAAATCATGATATCCTCTGGTACTTTTGACACTTAGAGTTAGTAGTACAGCAATGGTCAGAGGAGATCGAAAGAATAAATACAAATCATCACTGTTACTGTGTTGCTTTTTAAAAACTGAAATTTGTTAGGTTTTTTCAAAATTTGGTTTTGATAAGTCACCATACTCAAGACGTTCCAGCTGAGATTAAATTAATTTGATATGATAGAATTTGAATTCGAAAATACGCTTTTAAAAATAAAAATGAATGGTTTGGGATCTATGTTTCAGTGAATAATTTTATTCATACTTAGGAGACAATAAACTATGTAGACAGTTCGTTAGTTTCACTCGTTTTGTGAAAAACCTATTGATTACTTCTAAAAACAAAAATGTATTCAAGTATGTAATGTATTCGAGTTTTTTTTCATTAAATGATCCGTAATAATCGGGGGACATCCAGTTTGATGTTAGATGTTTTACCCCTAAACAATCAACAGGCTTTAAACCCAGAGCTTCAACTCACAAAGCAGTGGATAACATTAAGGTAAAGAGTTAATAGGACCTCTCCAACATGGTCGCAAACCTGTAGTGGTGAGAAAGTGATTGAGGAACAGAGAATAGAACTCGTATGAAATGCAATATTTAACAGTTTTCAGATTTACCAACCTAAATTTAAAAATGTTTTTCAGATATTTATGTATATATATCGATAATAATGTCACAGAAAGTGAAATATTTTCAAGTTTTGCAGATTGATTGATGTTCCATAATGTTCGGTGATTTTTTTCCTTAGGCTATTTTACCAGTAAGTAAGCATAAAAGCAATATGTATGCACGTTTTTAGAAAAACCTTCAGACACTTTATTTAGTCACTATTAGAAGCAATCATTTGGTAATTAATTTAAACACACATCCAACACTTCTGATGAATTCAGTGAAACTGTATCTTACTTTGACAGATGGGAGATATTCACTTTTTGGCTTCTGAATTTTACTGAGAAAATTTTACACATCACTATTTCCTAGGAAGTTAATATATTATCCTTAATAAAAGGAATGTACATATATATATCCAACTAAATCACATGAAAAATTCTTGACATTTATCTCTCAGCTTGGTTTCTTTTATGTATGTCTCCTTGATTTTCAATTTTTAAAGATAGATGGAAGCATGAAATTTGTGTACCCATCTATGTGAAATGTAAGTTATAAAGTATGCCTTATTAGGTAACTGACAGAATTCAATTAAATGAAGTTTAACTATGAAAGTATTGTACTTACTAACCAAAAGTCAGCGATTATTGTTATGTTGTCTAAATTCTAATACTGCCGTAATTATATTGATCTGCTTTGTAAAGTGGTCACAATTTTAAGTGTCTAGATTGAAAAGTGCACCATACTCTAAATTAAATGGTTGAAGGGAATCAAGCTCTTTAGCGTGAAACATTTTACATAAAAACATTGAATCGCAAATGAAAATTTTATTCTGTCATATCAATATAACCTGCCAAAATTACACTAATGCTGTTGCTCACTGAAATCATGGATAATCATTTGATTAATTTACATAACGGGGTTGTGAAGATTGTTAAGTTACACATTTTTGAAACCATGAATCCATCAATATTAGACCACAATTAGAAACCTGGAAGCACTGGATGGCCGTTTCGTCCTGGTATGGGACTCCTCAGCAGTGCGCATCCACCCCCCAAGATTCGAACCCAGGACCTTCGGTATTGTGCGCGAACGCCTAACCATTGGACCACTGAGCCGGTATCTAACGGTGTTAATATCTAACTTGATCAGTTCAATCTAAATTACCTGTGCTCACTAGTGACTAGATTCGTGAGGAATCTTCTCCGAGTTCTAGTGGGAAGACCTGACCAGTGAAGTTCAACCTGTTCGGGTGTAGAAAGTAACTACCGGAGACTGTGTATGAGGTTGCGCAACTACGTGAATTGATCAAGTTAGACAATAACACCGTTAGATACCGGTTCAGTGGTCCGATGGTTAGGCGTCCGCGCACAATACCGAAGGTCCTGGGTTCGAATCCTGGGGGGTGCAAGAGTCGTGGATGCGCACTGCTGAGGAGTCCCATACCAGGACGAAACGGCCGTCCAGTGCTTTCAGGTTTCTAATAGTGGTCTAACATTGATCGATTCATGGTTTCAAAAATTAGATCAATTGACTTCATCAATGGCACCTTGTCTGAAATTGAGTTCATAATGAAGCCAGTTACTAATATTTGCTTGTTAACAGATTCTCTTTATGTCAAAATCGTTATTTTCAAATAAAAACTGCTATTTTAATCGGAATAAATAGAAATCGTGATAGATTACCCACATATATTTCATTTTTGATGAGCATTCTGATGAGCTAGTTACTCAACATCGAATAGACAATTAACGTAACAAATAAAACAGAACGACATTTGAGGCTTTTCTATCCCATCAGTAATTTGCAAAATACAATGACATGTGTGGACAAATCGGGAAATTAAATATAAATTATTTGTCTGAAATTGGATTTCGAGTGTAATATTACGTTAGTTTTATGATGAAAACAAAAAACATATAATGAATGAAATCAGTTTACAAAATTCTAATCATGAAAATTAATTTGACATTTTTAAAAACAAATTTTTTATTGCTTAATTGTTTTACTCTTTTCAAAGTTTAATATTCTAAATAATTTTTTTGCATATATTAAAGCGATAAAAACGAACCGCATCAAGGTTGGAACGCTGATCAAAGTAATAATAACAGACAATCTTCCACAAGTAATAATCATCTTCTTCAAAGTTATTCTAAATTTGATCAATCATCTGTACATCAAGGTGAAATTGAACCACTTATAACCAATTGGTTTAATCTCAGTGGTAAACTGTCACATAAACACAAAGAAATAATGCCAACACTGGATAAAATATCTTTCGGGAACAATAATCCCACATTTGATAACAGTTTACATAAAAAATCAAAGAACTTCATTAGTTCATTTGTTGAACGAAACAAAAAGTTCCCATTTAATATTGTACTGATAATTGCGGTTTCTATCAGTGGTATATGTGTGTTAATTATTTTAACGTGTGTTATATATCGATGTATGCGACGTGATGAAGGAACCTACAATGTCGAAGAGAGTACAGCATATACAGGCGAAACAGTACAAACTAACAGTAATATTGGTGGTAGAAAACATGTTATAAGTGATTCATCTATACCTCTGATTAGTTTACAACCAGAGCTAATCAAATCCGTTACATTTTTAAAAGCTACTGACATCGATGATAGATCTCTGAAGAAAATCAGTTTGGATAACATAATAAGTGAATCTAATTTACCAGTTGATAAAGTCATCCAAAATAATCCTGATATCATTTTGATGGATAAAAATGTCACAAATATCAATCTCAGTACTAATGATGAAAACAGTAACAATATCCCAAACACTTATTTTATTGATGATGGTAATAGTAGCAAGCAAAGTCGAAAAACTTACATAAAAGTTGAGAAAACAAAATCAACAATAAATCCCAAAGAATGGTACGTCTGAAACTGTGATTTTTAACTTTAACTATGGTTGAGTTAGTTTGTTATTTTTAATGCAAAATATTCTATTTCACTGTTCCACCTAACCACTTTATTTAATAAACTTCTTTCAACCAGATCTGATCATGGATCAACATTGAATATGTTATCCAATATTCATTCTTCTGCTGTTATCTATCATGTATAGTTTTATTTTTTAAAAATCAAAAGTACTAATCACTTACCGTTGCTATCATTATGCTAATAATATCGGTGTAGATAGTTGTGCAAATAATTACTTATCTAAACAAAATGAAGAATGACACATGAACTTCGCATCTTTCATGACTTCAAAATAAATAAAAAAAACATTATTTTTTACTGTTGTTTGCCAACCTTTCAATTTAACTTCGTGATTTTTTATCTCAATGTACAGGAAAAGGCAAGTGTGATCTATGCAGATTGTTTGTATTTTTGTGTTTTACAAGATTTACTTCTTTTCTAGTAAATAGAAGAGAAATCAAAGAACACAAATGTAATTCTATCCAATAATCTTGCATAGAATGTTTGATCTTGCCTTTTTACAAAAAAAGATCATTTGATTTTCAATTTTCAATCATTTTATATTAGAAATCTATGAGAAGAAAGATTTTCTGTTGTAGATTACTGATTGTTCAGTCCTCCTTTGTTTAAATAATATGTATTCAATAAAAAGAAACTTTTCCAGTGTACTTTGTGTTTTTTCAGACAAATTTATAAATATCTTTATTATTTCAGATTTTATTTCCACTTCAATTTGTCCTCATGTCAATCATGAATAATTAGAATATTGTATTATTGTTTTGTTATGATTTATTCATTAATAAATTTGTAAATAAATATTAAATAAAAATAAGATCATACTTGTAAGTGATATGGTTGTTTTATTTATGAATTAGTTGATATAAAATTGAATAATAAGAGATGCTCGAGCATGCTTTCTATTATTAATGAAGATATGATATTGAGTTGGCTTATTATTATGACGCTGAATGTCTTATTAAGTGATTAAGACTAGCGATAGACATCATTTAGAAAAACGAATTTGATTAGCGTTGGAGGACTTGAATTAGTTAATTGTTTTAATTGTTAAATACAGAAGCCAGTGAATGAACGCTAATGAATTCACAACGACGGAATACAACTAAATACCAGGTTTTTGTGTAAATATATGTTAATCATTCATTTGGCAAAATTATAAAATGATAGATAAATGAACTGGAAGCTTTTATTATCAGCGACATTTGGAATGTAACTCACCTAAAAATTAAGATTAGATGTAGCTTATTGTAACCGAATTTCGGACAGTGCGTTTGTGGTATCTCATTTTCAATAAGTCCACTTAAGGTTCTACAGTTTTATATCCAAATTAACAATCGAAACTGTGACTGTCAGGTGAGTTACATAGTTTAGAAATATATTATTTTGCATTTAGGACTGTTTGTAATATAAATAATTGTTGGGATGACTTAAATGAAGTGTTTACTTGAATAAGTCCATACGTAATAATAGTGAGAATAATAATCCAAATAAATATGGACAACATGCGGTGAGAGAGTTTACACATTTATGTATAAGTAGAATAACATGGATAAGGTACAAATAGGTGAATAGGGATGGACGTTGAATGGATGTCTCAAAACATTTGCAAGCGTTATAGTAATAGGATTTGAGAATACGTTTCAACAACGAAGATGTAAATGGAGGTTGTAATCAAATCATTATCACTAGAATGATCGATAAGTAATTTGGCCAGAAGTTAGCCATAGTGAAAAAAGTGGTGGACTATATTTCTTTTGAACGCAAAGCTCTGGCTTTTCGATTCGAATAACTGTTGATTCAGCCGTCCAGAGGATTCTTAGTCCGATAGATTTTATCAGATTGCAGTTAACACGATGTGTTATTAAAGACTGTCCCAGTTTCCCACAGTGTCCGGATTTTTCATGCACTTATCAGAAAGGGAATCGACAGAAGAAGTTCGATTTCAATCATGAGGCGAAAACAGTACCTGTTCAGTAGTTGATCTCTTATCATTTAAACTTCGTTTAATGTAATTTTGTTTATCTACTTGACAAATTCGATTTTGCTAACTATGTACAAATATTACAATTTCGGCACAGAAAAAGTACAAAAAGACTGTTTTGTGCAGACATTATTGGAAGATAAAATTTTAAGCATAAGCCTTACTATATGTATTTATTTATTTAAAAGGAAATAATGTGTTTTTTTCAGAATCCACACATGTAGCTATTAAATATAAAATAACCTATTCAGTCAATTTATATGCCTATAATGTTTTGGATTTATTATGAATATACACAATGATCCACTACTTTTTACACATCATAAAAGACATTTTGTGTAAAGAATATATATATATATATATATATATCTGGTATACAAAATTAAGCTAAACGAAATGCGTCGTTCTTTTTTTATCTAAATGACTGAAATAGAAAACAAACGAATGTGGATGAAATAATCACGTAAATATTTCGTTGTCATTTCCGTAACATATATGGTTATGGTTGATTTTTTAAGTAAATCCAATGCAACTTTTTACATTTGTCAGATAAATCCTATTGTTTACATGTGACAATTTTTTATTCACGTCAAGTAAGAAGTGATTCAAACAAATATAATAATTATTTTCTAGAAAAAAAACCTAGCTTTTCTGGAGCCATTTATTGTTTTAACATCTGTATTGACAATTGAATCAAATTCTGCTTTTCTGCAATTAGTTTGGATGCATGCGATAAAAATTAACGCGAACATAATGCATTTCTTTTTGTAATTTCTACTGACTAACACTATAGCTATTCTTTCATGGAGTATCTTCGCCAATTTTACCACGTCTTAGATCAGAATCTTTAACTCATCATGGATATTTTGTTCTCTGATTTAGTACTCAATATAGCGACTATAAATTACGCTCCCAGTGCTGATAGACATCATCGCAAAGTACATTAGATTCCGAGTGATACCAAGAATGTACGACTTATATATTTCAGACCAATCTCTAGTTCACATTGACATGCTTTGAGTTACGGCATCCAACTTGACCGTAACTCATAACTGTGCATTTTCAGTTTCTTTTAATTTAAGACAAACCTCACTTAGCTGACTGTTTCAGCTATAGGTTTGTGAAAAAAAACTTTTAACGCGTTCATTTTACCCACTTAACTGTTGATTTAACTGGTTATCGATCATATTTTTGCGAAAACGAAAAGTAATTTCATGGATAAACTATGTAAATATGACCAGGTTACACATCAAATTAAAATGCCTGATATCAGTATCATATAAATCATGTGTTCGCACCAAATATTTCTTTAGTTTTCAACGGTTTTCTTATCTGTGGTAATTTACATCGCAAACTAACTTTCCCCAGACTATTTAGACAGTACTTAACATTTAGACTATCATGTTGATGGTAAATGATTTAAATTTATAACTTCAGTGAATCGACCGAATTGTTTTAAATTCACTTATCCGTAAAAATGTCACTTAATAGAATATTTGAGTGCATAAAACTGTATATAATTTAACAACATTTGCTAGTAGTTTTTTTTGAAAAAAACTGTTCTGCTCAAAATAAAATAGTTTATATTTGTCATTAAACAGTAACATTAAAAAATCTAAAGTCAGTATTTTATGTTGATAAATGAAATTATAAAACCGCTTAACTTAAGCCAGATGTTTTGTTAGTTTATACTAGATTCTCATGAAGCATCTGGAACTACTCTTCTTGGCTGTTTACTTTCTGAAACTTACTAGTAAATATTAGTAAAAAGAAAAGAAATAACATGCATATTTTACAAAATAAATTCTGTAGATAATGTTGTAGGTTTTAAGTGAACTGTCCATCTAGTAGATTTTTGGTCTCATTGGAAACACAATTTCATAGAAATATGAATGTCTCATTGTAATTATTATTGAATGTTACTCTGGTTTTTGTATAAAATGCATTGTCACTAAACATGTCTAGTAAATCATCATATACACACAGCAAACGTGAGATATAACTAAATAATGTCTATTTGTTAGTTCTTTTTACATACTCAGTTGTTTTACTGAGTGTACAATGGTAACATTGTATGTGAATAAGAAAGTTTCTCAAGATTGACAGGTTTAGAAAATTTGTTTCCATACCTTATTCTTTCATTTGTTGTTCGTACATAACATCATAAATGATCAGAATACACCCAAACTTCATCTACAAATGTTCAAAGTGAAAGTTTCTACGGTTAAACATACTAAATATCGAATAGTTCAGCGACAAAATTGAACTTTTATGACTGTATTCTCTGAATTCATTGTTTATATTTCTGTCGTATAATTATTAAATACCTTAATTATGATATCATTGTATCTACCTATATTTAAGCTTTCATTCGACACAAAATCATGTCGTGCGTGTAACTCATTGTTAGTTTTTTACGGACCTGTCACTTAGTCCTCTTTCACTTGTGCCATGGTTGTTCCTATTCCAATTTTGTAATTCTGTATTTATGTGACCGAAACTCCACCGTATGTAACTGTAAGAGTGATTCATAAATTCAAAATGTATGATTAAAATCAATCTACATGCTGAGTTTTACATTATCATGGCTCTCGGGCAGTTGAGCTTTGAAAATTGAACTGTTGACCAATAGTGATTTAGTGCTGTGTTCTGCTGTTTTATCACACTATTCAGTCAGTTGATCAATCAGATGCAACGTAGAACTTCGTACGTAAGTACATCAGTTCATGTCGCCATACCACATCAGCACAGAGATGTAATTGACAATTCAAATCCAATAGTAGAAGAGGTAGTAAAGGTATTAGAAGTAATCGGAGAGATTAGGATTAGAAGATATTATTCAAGAAGTATGATTCAGTGAGAACAGTTTAGAAAGTCAAAACTAGAGGTGTTGAAGAATCCAGAAGATTAGGATTTGAGAGAACACAAAGAATAAATGCACCGGCGCCATTGCGAACGATTTTGAGCCATGTCATTCAAGGTCTCTAACCATCGATTATTATCATCTCGCGGACTCCAACCAGGTAGTCAACAATTACCGACATGGTTCAGTCCACTTGTCAATGACTTCATGAATTTCTGCCATGTTTTGGTCTGGCCGCCCCTAACTTTCTTCCAACCTACTCCTACACCACAAAACCAAGCTCTTCGAGGCAGTCAGTGGTTTGGCATACGCAACACATGTCCCAACCACCTCAACTGATGAAGTTTCACCACCTCATCTATTGATCTGCCATTCTTACCTAGCACCCAATTCCTAATAACAGCGTTGCTCACTCGGGTGTCCCAGAATATACGAGCAATGCTTCGAAGACACCGATGATCGAAAAACAATAACCTACGAATATCTTCTACTCTCACTGGCCATGTTTCACAGCCATAAAGTAAGACGGAGCGAACTACTGCACAGTACACTCGTCCTTTAGTCAGCAAACGGATATCTCGCCTACGCCATAAGTGACGCAGGTTGGCAAAAGCCAATCGAGCTTTCTGTATTCGTGCTGAGATTTCGTCAGTCATCAGGCTATCAGCACTGATGAGACTGCCAAGATAAGTGAAGTGATCAACATGCTCGACTACTTCACTCCCTATCACTAGTTCAAGTGCGGATACAAACCAGTCTTTAAGCAACAGTTTGCATTTCGAGGGGGAAAACCGCATCCCGCATGCATTGTAGCTTAGGG